GGAACAGAGACTGATTATGAATAGATCTATAATAATAAGGGAAGTTTCTGAAGCTATAAAAAAGATTAAACCAGGAAAGGTGCCTGGATCAGATGGATTATCAGGTTCTTATTATAAATGTTTTGAGGATGAACTTTTACAACTTATACAAAACACGATGAACTCTATCTTATAGGGAAGAAAGGTGCCAGAGTGCTGGAATGAGGCCAATATAGCACTAATACCTAAAAGGGACAAGATTTGACTTTAACAAGAAACTATAGGCCAATATCATTATTCAATAATGACTACAAGTTGTTTGCAACAATTCTAGCTGATAGACTGAAAATAATTTTGCAAGCTTTTATTCTGAGGATCAATGTGGGTTTTTACCTAAAAGACAGTTAAAGGACAATCTTAGAAATGTGTTGGACATTTTAGAATATTTGGAGCAATGTAATGAAAAACAAGCCACATTGATTTTCTTAGATGCAGAGAAAGCCTTTGACAATTTGAATTGGGCTTTCTTGTTCAAGGATTTGGAAGAAATGAATTTTGGAAAGAACTATATAAAATGGGTAAGATTGATTTACACTTCACAGAAAGCACAAATATTTGTTAAAGAAGATCTAACAATATCCTGTGAAACACACACAAAAAAGGAACAAGACAGTCTCCTCTCCTGTTTACTTTGGTTCTTGAAATACTGAATAGAGATATAAGACAAGATGAGAGCACTGTGGGGGTAAAGATTAAAACAGAAACGTATAAGTTAAGGACTTTTGCAGATGACTTGGTGTTAGTTTTAGAAGATCCTTTAAAGGGAATTGAAACATTAATGGGCAAATTATAAGGATTTGGTGCATTAGCAGATTTCAAGATTAATAAACAGAAGATGTTAACAGAAAATATGCAAATAGAAGATCAAACAGAATGGATGAATAAAGTGGATTTTAAGATTGAGAAGAAGGTAAAATATCTGGGCATCTCTATGACAAATATGAACTGTATGTTATTTCAAAATAAGCATGTTAAGACATGGAATGAAGTTAAAAAAAGACATATTAAGATGGGGAAAACTACAACTGTCATTGTAGTTAAATACAAGGTGTTACAAGATGCAAGGGAAAGAGGAGGATTGGGTCTACCTGATTTGAAATTGTATTTTGCAGCTTGCTGTTTGGTTTGGATATTGTATTTTGCAGCTTGCTGTTTGGTTTGGATATTGTATTTTGCAGCTTGCTGTTTGGTTTGGATGAAAGAGTGGGTGCTGCTGAGAAATAGAAGGCTATTGGAGATAGAAGGACACAACCTGAGATTTGGGTGGCATGGATATTTGTGGTACGACAAAGTCAAGGTTAATGTGGATTTAAAAAATCATTATGTTAGATGTGCCATGTTGAGAATATGGAATAGATACAAACCCAGGTGGTGCCTGAAAACACCTTTGTGGCTCTCAGCACAAGAAGCATTTTATAGTTGAGAAATGGCTAATTTATTGTGAGATACTAGAATTTTGTCAAGGGGAATGTAAAATAAAATCAAGAGAAGAACTAGTGGCAGAGGGATATAGTTGTTAATGTTTTTTTTATTTATAGTTATTAGAAAGATTTAAAGTGGACAAAAGAGTTTATGGTTTTGAACATTGTAAGACTGAGTCTGAAATAGAATTGTGTACAAATGATGGACATGTAATTGCTAAAATGTATAAACTTCTATTGAAATTTGAAACAGAACAAGTGAAAGAATGTATGATAAAGTGGGCTAAAAATGTTGGTTATAATATACAGTTGGAACAATGGAAAATATGTGGTTGAAAGGATTGAAATTTACACTGTGTTATAATCCTAAAGAGAACTTTTATAAAATGATGCACCGTTGGTATATGTCATCAGAAAAATTGTCTAGAATGTATAAAGGTACTTCAAATTTATGTTGGAAATGTGAACAACAAGAAGGGACATTTTATCACATTTGGTGGATGTGTAAATAAGCTAAAAAATTTTGGATTCAAATATACACACTGATTCAGAGGATTTTAAAGAATAATGTACAATTAAGATCAGAGGTTTTTCTTCTGGGATTGATGGACAAACAGTTGAAAAAAGTCATCAAACTTTGTTTTTGTATATGATAACTGCAGCAAGATGATTGTATACACAAAGATGAAAAGATTCTGCACTACCCACAATGGAGGAATGGTTGGTGAAGATAATGAAACTTGGTGAGATGGCTAAATTAACTTCTTTGATAAGAGAAAAGACATCTATGTTAGTGTAGACCTTGGGGTTCTCTGAGCTTGGTTGTTTTCTTGCATACATTTTGTTACCCAACTAGGTAACATCTTCGGTGCTGGAAGGGAGTAGGGTTTGCTCTCTGTTTATGTACAGTAGTTCACCCTGTCAGTGTTGGTGGAGGAGTTGTTTTTTCTTGGTGGTTCTTAGATGAGATTGTTGTTTACTGCTTGATTGTTTGTCTGGTGTTGATTGCTAGTGAGGAGGTGTTCTGGTCTTTTTGTTTCCTTTTTAGGTTTTTATTGTCTCTTTCATCTATGTTTGTTGCTGACTGGAAACCCCTTATGGACTTCTTGCGTAAAACAGAAAAAAAATGAACTTATGATTTATGGTTTTGACAATTAGACAGGATAGATCAGTGCTTCTCAACCTTGGCAACTTTTAGATGGATGGACATTTAAGACATGCTGGCTGGGGAATTCTGGGAATTGAAGTCCACCCATCTTAAAGTATGGATGGACATTTAAGACATGCTGGCTGGGGAATTCTGGGAATTGAAGTCCACCCATCTTAAAGTATGGATGGACATTTAAGACATGCTGGCTGGGGAATTCTGGGAATTGAAGTCCACCCATCTTAAAGTTGCTAAGGTTGAGAAACTCTGGGATAGATTATAGAAAGAAGAGCGTCATGTTGCAACCATAGAGTAGTAAGAGGTAAATTTATAACTGTAACTATAACTGCTGTAAAGAAGATTGGGAGCCACTTCTTTGTATCGTTTTTCTTTCTTTTCTATTTTTCTTTTACTTTCTTTTTACTTTCTTGCACTTTTAGCTTTCTCTTTGATTTTTTCTTTTTCTTTCTTTTTCTTAGTTTATATTATTTTGTATCCTCCTTTTTTAAAAATTTAATTATACACACACACACACACACACACAGTATATATAAACATATCCATTTAAAAGTGAAATTAGGCCAATAAACAAGCATTTTATGGAAGTGAATCTATATGTATGTGTGTGTATGTATGTATTTATGTATATCCATACATAAATAGATACATACATATTTGTATGATTAAGCTATGAGAATTGCTGAAATATTAGTTTAAATTAGTTTTTGGTAGCAGAAGATGGAAGCAGCTTGTGATCTGTGAAGTAAAAGCGGTTAATACACCATAGTCTCACAGAACATTCTGCTTTGTTATAGGATATATGTGTAAGTTGCCAATAATCCCTTGGAAGGCTCTTGAAACAAGCCAGAGATGGCCAGCCTGTGTCCCTCCAATCATTGCTGAACTGTCACTTCTTGTATCTCTCACCTATGTTGCCTGAGGCTGCCGAGCACTTTCTTATTTTCTTCTTCTTACAGAAGATCCATGGATTCATCCCCCTTCCTCACAAGTGAATACTGACAGGCTACAAGGTGGACTGTGGAACTGATTTTCCTTGCAAATATGAACAAATGATAATAGTTGACAACTGGCATGCTCTTGCTTTTAAAAGCCTCATGGTTCAGGGAAGCTATTAAGGAACCATCTAGCTACCAAATAGTTATACAACTCATTAATTGGGTTCACACCTTATGCTAAATTATGATTTAACATGGTTTACCGAGAAAGTCATTATTGACTAGGTTCACGCAGTCCACAAAGCCAAAGCAAATTAGCCATCTTGTGCCTCAGCCTGATGAATCAGCTCAGCCTGGGAGTGTTAAAGAGCTGTCCTCACACCGTCCAGCTTTTGTTGGTTTGCAAAATGAAGAGATACCATAAATTGGGTTCTACAGACTGTAGAGACTGTGGACATCATCTTGCATACAGATGCCTTGCTAACCAGATGCCTTCTTCTCATAAGGTGGCTACCAGTATTTTCAGGCCAATGATTGGTCAATGTCTGATCAGTCACATGGATGGTAGAACTTGCTGACTAGTGACCTAAAGGAGGGGGTGTCTGCACGCTTTCTTGCACAGCCAAGACATACCTCTGGTTGCACTTTGTAACACTTCACCTTCCTTTCTGGTTGTCACAGGACCCTGTTTTGTTTAAAAAGGGAGCGCCAGCTGCCTGGGGGAACAAGGAGAAGGTATAAATTGATTACATTCTTTGCTGGGAAGAAGACAAGACCTGCGCCCTGTGGCCAAAGGGGCATCTTGGAGATTGCCCGGGCAATCTGGTGTTGATATAAACTGCAAGTGAGGAAAACCCCAAAGGCAAGTATTGCTCTTAACATTAGACAAAGCAGATCAGCCTCCTGTTCACTGCACCCAGAAGATGGAGACGCCAATAAGGCCAGCTGGCTTAATGAGCTCTTGGCACACTGTCTTCCTAGTATTTACCGCTCGCGCAGCAGCTGCACGAGGAGTGGTGTGGCGGAGAAACCATCTGCAGTGCAAGTGATGGTTATTTCTTCTTGGGCTTCTAAGCCAGACGCTTGCAAAAAGTGCCTCAGGCTCTGCAGCGGTTTTTCCACTGAGCATCTTCATCCTTAGTTCCAGGCATGAGGGACGCGCTTACTTTTGAGACGGGAAGAGGAGGAGGAGGAGGAGGGGGAGAGGACGAGGAAACAAGGTGCGCCCGAACAGGGAGCAGGACATGTAATTTCTTTTTGGGGGCGGGTGAGGGACCAGGAAACGTTTTGGTTGCCAGGCTGGCGTCCAGCAGCAAGCAATATCAGAAGGGAGTCTGGGGAGAGAGATAAGGATCTGGCGTGACGTCAAGGAGGAGCTTGGTGAGCGGAGCTGCTCAGAGGCACCGGGGGCTCTTTGGTGTGGCGTTGGCGCTTCGGCAGCAAGCGAGGCGGGCGCGAGACAGCAAAGCTCCGCGGCCGCGTCTGGCGAGTCTGGTCATCCGCGAAGGGTGCGTGGAGCCTTTTGCGCGCGGAGGAAAGACGGGGCGAGGGACGCGGGAGTTAAGGGAGCGCGGAGAAAGTGGAGGAAACTGCGTGGCGCGCTTCTAGAGTGAGAGGGGGCGAGGCGCTGTGGGGAGACGCTTGGGCGGAGTGAGGCGGTGGGTCCAAAGAGGGGTCGGGGCGGGAGGAGAAGTGAGTGGTGAGGGGAACGTGGAGGGAGGGAAGGTGGGGAGGCAATGGGTGGAAATGAGGGGAGGCGAGGGGTGATGCTGGAGCGCCCCGGACAAACGGGGCGGGGAGGGAACGGTGGGGCAGGCCGGTACAAAGGTCGGTCTTCTGAGCCGGACGAAACATAAGAAAGGGCTGAAGACCACGCATCGCACTCACTTTGATTACTATG